AAAAAATGAACTTAAATGATTTTAGCATATGGCTGCAATATAACAAAGAGTGAAAAATTTAAGGGGGTCTGAATACTTTCTGTACCCACTGTAATTCATCCACAAAAGGTCACACCATGTTCAAAATCTAACAACGTTATCACATAAAAGATAATGCACTATTTAGATAAGACCATAATCTGCCATCATTAAAGTATTATTAGCATTGGTTTGCATTGTAAATACCAGCTCATTGAAACTTTCCTCTGTGCTTGTAGATTGTGAAGCATGCCAGGAAGAAATGGCAACATCTGATTTTCATTACTTTGAGAGCAAGCTCCTCCTCGCATTCAAGACCCTTCACAATGAACGAGAAAATCACAGGAAGAGCTAAATGGGGTTTCACAACTGCGAACAAACTCGAATACCTACAGGAACAACAGTCGAAATCGTATAACACAGACACGATATAACAAACTATCATGAATCTTCACCCACTAGTTCCAACGCAGAGGTGCGCGAATTAAAATCCTCTTACCTCAAAAATGAGAGCTCTTTTGTTCTTGAGTCCCAAGTTCGAGAGGAAAGCTGATCCTCGGTCAAAGTCTCTCGTCTTCCTGAAGTGCGTCCCTCAGCCAGTTTCTCTCCTGTGGCGGTGGCTCCACACATACAGTCATAGCTGAGTACTGAGTGGAGTTATTTTTGCTCAGTCCGCCCCTCTGGCTTCTCCGCTGCTGTAACCCGAGCCAGGTGTTTCTGCAGCTGGTCCAGGTGAAGTGTGTGAACGAGTTATGAGGCAACACGTTTAATTGTAGACTAGTGGCCCAGGAGTGGAAAGCCAACTGGACTTAAAATCTAATTTGAAGTATCTGTACTTTTCTTGAGCACTTTTCTTCTACGCCATACAAAATCAAAGAGTGTTTATTGTCATATGCACAGTAAGGAAACATGTTTCCCTGCACAATGAAATTCTTCCTTTGGTGTCCACAATGAATACCAAACAATATAAAGTCTAAATATAAAATAGATAATACAAAATAAAGGCAATTAAAAAAAACACCATGTAAAAAATACACATAATATATGCTACATCTGATGTATGTGCAACAGTCAGCAATGAGTGTTCAGTTATTCATATGCAAACTGAAAACATAAACAGTCAGGTGCAATTACATGAAGTAATCCCTGATTATATACATTGACTGCACTAAATTTCAGGGGCAAATATTAGTTGGTAGTTACTTTTCAGAATCCGATTAATAAAACAAAATACAGTGTAATCGGAAGACTTTATTGATCCCTGGTGGGAAATCACAAGTGACCCAGCAGTAATTCAAATTATAAGCTTATAAGAAACTATCTTAAATGTGATGCACACAATAATAGAGCAGGAATTATAATCTGCTAATGTGAAATGTGCCCTTCTGCATAATGAGCAGCTACTTTTACTTTTGGTAGATTTAAGTAGGTCTATGTTTTGATGCTATTACTTTTGCAGGACTTAAGTACGTTTTTTTTTTCCCTCGTCCATGCTTGCGTTGTCAAAGTCAGACAAAATCACAGCTCATGTAGCCTATTTCGCAATATTTCCGAACGGTATCACTACATCACTGATTGTGAGAACCTGTTACAGTTCACCGCCAGTATGTGCCCAGGTTGTTTATAAATTCAGATTATTAAAAAGTGAGTCATAAGCATCAGACTATGTTACTTCCACACGTGGGCGGGTTTGTGTCTGTCAATCAACGTCCTCGCCTAATCTCTACGTGCTCCGCCCTACGCTAGTGAAGTGTTTCCGCCAAGATGGTTGTCGGTGCCTTTCCTATCGCTAAGCTCCTCTATCTCGGGGTGAGGCAGCTGAGCAAGCCTGTAGCGAACCGGATAAAAGCGGGAGCCAGGAGAAGCGAGTTCTTCAAAAATTACGTTTGTCTGCCTCCGGCACAGCGTGAGTAACCGAGCTAAAGACTGCTAATGGCCGCTACATTTCAGTGTCAGACACCCAGAGGTTGAATAAACCAGAGGGTTCCAACAACCAATGAGATTGCATCGGTTTAGCGTACTTACCCAATCATTTTCATTGGTCTATCTGTTCGACCAATATCAACAATGCAAAGCCAAGAAGGCGGGACTTAGCTGTCATTGAAACCTTGACTTTGCTAACAAGACAAGTTATTTAACTCGTTTTTTTCAGCTGTTCTGTCCGTAATGTAATATCGGTTTTGAATTGATGGATACATTTAAGCAGCTACTGTGCTTTGTCTTTAGAGATATCAGACAGCTTTCTGTATAGTTGTTCAGAACAATATGGCAGGTAAAGCTAGTCAGAGCAACTAAACAAAGAATAAAACACCGTTGTAAACAAAAAGAGTTATCTGTTCCAATTGAAACAGATTGCATTTCATAGGTGTTGGTTGTTGTTTAAGGCTTGGCCTCATATACAGACCAAAGTATATTCTCTGGGTTATTTGAGTCTGGCAAACAAACCTGCTTGAGAGATTTGTTGAGGTATATTAAGCTCACTACAAATTTGTCTTGGCAGTCCTACAGTGCCTGGTACTTTCACATTTGCAACACATATTGCAAATACATCATACCATAAATGCATCCTCACATTTATTTAGAACTGTTCAATTCTGATCAGATCAGACATATTAGTACGAATGAGCAAAAACACTAACTGGCATGTACTTGTGCATTGTATGCTTTTTGCCCTCACAGTTTACCACTGGATTGAGATGAGGACGAAAATGCGGATCATGGGCTTTCCGGGTTCCATCATAAAGCCACTGAATGAGGAAGCGGCTGCAGAGCTGGGTGCAGAGTTGCTGGGGGAGGCAATCATCTTCTTCATTGGTGGCGGCTGTATGGTGCTGGAATACAGCAGACAGGCTGCTAACTCTCGCCGCAAAGAGGAGGAGCTAAACCAGACGATCTTAAACCTACAGACTCAAGTAGCAGAACTTGCACTGACCACAGAGACTCTAGATGCTCAGCTGAGAGAGGTCAACAGGCAACTGATGTACTTTTCCGTTCCCCTTAAAAAGTGATTAAATTGCTACTTGACAGAGGTACCGTTTGGTGGTCTGTGTGTGAGGGAATAAGAGTGTACCACTGTAGTGCTACCATATGTTCAGCCTGATAAAGATCCTGCATCATACTCTATCCCCTGCCAATTAAGTTGGATGGAAGACATGGATAGACATATTAGGGCACTGGGGATTTGGGTGTAGTCATTAGCTCATGTTTTGAGCAACTAGTTGTAAGGAGGGATTGCTATGATATTCATAGTGAATTTCTGTGGTTGCTCTTGCATGTTTGTTCTAAGAGTTAGCTGTGTATATAAAGATTTACAGTATAAGGCAATTGCTACTTTAAAGTTTAAATGTTTTATAACAGCTCCCATATATTACTGTATTTTTTATTTCAGTGAATCTTGTGGAGTGCAAACATTTAACAAGTGCTGATTTTCATGTTTTGTTGGCTGGAATGGTAATGCTGTAATATATTGCTACTCAGAAATGAGAATCTCTTTCTTGTGCTCTTTAGAAACCAAACAGAACACAAACATCAGGTCACCTCTGTGGATTTTTTTGACAGCATCTGTCTGCCCCTACAGTTTCATGTACATGTCACATTGTGAATCCCTTTGCTGGTTAATGTACACCGGATGTGAAAGGATGGTATAAAAGAAAGTGGTATGCTGTCTATTAATGGAGTTTGTATCATTACAGATTAAAATGATACAGTACTACAGTACAACAAATAACACTCATTCACTCCAGACTTCAGATGTTACTTTAGTAAGTTGTAATAACTTAATGTAAGCAAACTGAACTGAATACCCGTTAAAGGTTAACTGCAGGCAGAAATTACGCCAGTATAACACTACACTACCCAGCATGCCTTCAGTGTAAGCACTAGATCAGTTCCTAGTGTGGAGCGTTCCAAATGCGTAACCTTAACAGCTATACGTTTAGTTTCCACTCACATTCCACTCTCAGAACATAAGTTGGCAATATAAACAAACTCACTGTTAAGTAGTCACCATGTACACACTGGTCTTAATGTAAAATCATGGCAGAAGTCCATAATAAAGTTGTGTGTGGCCTGCTCTAGCTCACTTCCGGTTTGAGGTGTTTTCGACGGTAGAGGGCGATAGCGGCTCTCAATCTTCTACCACGGTTGACCCGCGTATTTAGCGTGAGAGCAGGTAGGCAAACTTTATTTCTTAATCTTATTTCGCATCATGACTACATTAAAACCTGACTAAACAATGCATTGACTACAGGACTTGCATGCAAAATGGAGTAATGCTTGTAGCTCGCATATTCTTAGAAGTAAAAGTAGGTTAGTTACCATGCATCAGTTTTTTGTACGCTAGCTTCCATTAGGCTAAGATGGTTGACAGCGTTACTAGCCACGTAGCGACAACTTGGAGCCATAAACAATTTGTTTTGTTTTTTTTTCGACTTGCAAACATATAATAGTATGGGTAGCGTTGCTTATAGACCTGTAGTGGATTAAAGTAAAACGGTGCAATGTCTATCTATCGCTACTAGCCTAGCTAACCCGCTAATGTAGCCTGAATGGCTGGAGACACAGTGCCGCGCAATACGTACCAATTTGAAAGTTTGACGCAGTGTTGTAAGCCGTGCTAGCTAAATTTTTTTTTCTCCTCTGTGTTTTGTTAGTAAGATATAGATAGCAGATACCTGAAACACAATGAGTGTTGACGTGAAGAAACTGAAAGTCAACGAATTAAAAGAGGAACTCCAGCGCCGCGGCCTGGACACCAGAGGCCTGAAGGCAGACCTGGTGGTGAGGCTGAAAGCCGCTCTGGAGGCTGAAGCTCAGGCTGATGCCACAGAGCAAGGGGAACATGAAGAGGAGTACCACGAAGAAGAGGGAGAGGATGCCCAAGCGCAACAAGGTAAGCTCTAAAACTGCGTTTTTTCTCATTAATCGCGCACTGATTTTAATTAAATGTGTAATATTTAAACTTAGGTTTATTGTCTAAGGTATATAAACAGAATCAATTAAAGACCCTGCATTTTATGCCTGATTTTAGAGTATGTACACTCCGTAGCCACAATAACCTAAATTTCTTCTGACAGATGTGTTTGACAAAATTTATTTAATGGGCACTTTTTAAAAACTCATGCAATGTCTGGGTTCTGACCCTATATTTAAAAGGTGAAAAACAATACCCTTTACAGGAATTGCATAAAAATGTCCACTTTTATGTATTTGACTAAGAGGTCAGATTAAACTTGCAGATATAAAGTGAAGAAAGTGTCAATCATGCAAGTTCTATGAGTGCGTTGAATTTATATTTTTGTTATAAGCTTGGTCGGAAACTAACAGTCTTGTCTTTTTTGTCATGCAGAAGTAGCTGAGGACTATGATGATGATGGAGAAGGTGATGGAGAAGGTGATGTCCCTGAAGAGGAGGATGAGGGTAGAGATTCAGGTGTTTACTACGAGGAAGAGGAGGCAGAAGGCGAGCCTTATGAAAGTCAGCCGATTTCTGACCCGGATCAGAGCATGCCTGACTTCACAGCAGATGTTGATATACCGAAATCTGAAATGGTGTCCGAAGAAGAGACAAAGCCTGTGCTGGAGCCAGAGGAGAAATTTGAGAGCAACTCAGGTGATTTTTCAGCTAAACATGCAGTGTGAAACATGCTCTGTAGGGAGTGTTTGTCTGCGGGTGCATTTTATGGACTTAAATGTAAATTCCAAATGTCACTAAAAGCTTAAGACTGCTAGTGATTTTACATAATAGTAATATACCTTGATTTGATGATTACCCAATGCAATATTCACCACAAGGGTTGTGAAGATAGAAATGAAGTTGAGAGAGAGAGAAAAACCTGTCAGACACAGCAAAGCTTTAATGCTGTTAAATGATAACACACACCCTCCCAGTTCAAGGGCATCACAATGGCTCTGTTACTTCAAAGAGCAAGTTGGAGTTGATATGCAGTTTGCTATGGCTGCCCACTTCTCCTGAATTGTTACAATGGGTCAAATACAGAGGACAGATTTCCCCCTAGGCGTTAGTCAAGTATATTAACAGTCTCATACATAGCAGACACTTCTAAGAAATTCAGACTAAGCCAAGCATGACAGTACATTAAGAGGTAAGACTCACCAAAATCAATTTGTTGTCACATGTGGTACTGCAAAGGAATTTACCAGACCAGAGGTTTGTTAATATAAAGAACCTACACTTGGTGTACATGCACACATTTCACTCATTTTGGATTCCTTTAGCTATTTTTAGTTTGTAGCACCTATTAATTTGGAATAGCTTACACTATCATTTTCCTTATGAGTGCTTGAAATACCATGTAAGGTGACATCAGCTTACCCCCAGTTTCAATCCATCCAACTTAAGCCTGAGCAGAGGTCTAATCAACATAAATGAAAACACCTGTGAGAGTCTGTAGGATTTGAATGATGCCTCTGATTAGACAGCACAGCTTGTGAATGATTAACTGTGAGGGGGAGAAGAGTACACTTGCTGTCTGCAGGTTTTTTCTTTTGGCCACAGTGGTGCTTCATCCACAAATAAATGTAGATGGTCTTAGACTTGTATAGTACTTTTCAATGAAGCAAACTCAATGTGCTTTTACACTATTTTCACTCACACACTGATGGCACAGCCACCAGGAGCAACTTGGGGTTCAGTGTCTTGCCCAAGGACACTTAGGCATGTGAACTGGAAAAGCCAGGATTCAAACCACCAACCCTCCGGTTAGGGGACGACACGCTCTACTTCCTGAGCTGATCTGTTTGTAAATTTAATATGATGCCAGCAACATTTGAGACAGGGACTGTTACCAAGGTTAGCACACGGCATATAGCATGGATGTATATGGACTGCTCTACAAGTGGATAAATGTAATGCTAGCTCAAAAACTCTGATGCTGAATGTTTTCCCCCTCAGTCTAGGGTAATATTGAAAAAAACATATGGGAAAGCTGACCAGTGTGATTAGAAGTCCAGCAAATTGGCTTCAACTAATGCTGCTAGAGCAGGAAGAGGCAGATGTAGGAGAGCAACATGCTGCTGCTGTGGGAGAGCCAGCTAGTATGAACAGCACATAGTTAGCCTTCTAGTATTACTACATTTAATAGAAAAAAATTATGATTGCGGGACTTTCTTTATGAAAGCGGGACCCCCACCCTCACGTGAGCTACTGCCACAAATGGAATCTAATTCTACATTGTATACAATGATAACTCAGCTTTTAGAAACATCTCTATGTTTTCAACAAAAACAGAGTAGTTTAATCATCACAAACTTTGATTTATGGTCCAGTCTTTTTTTTTTTTTTGCACAGTTGTAATCCTGAACATGTACTTAACTGTCATTGTTCATTTATCCCTTTAGATGTGAAGGTGGAGGTCAAACTGGAAGATGTCCCTGAGTCAGCTGGAGCCAAGCAACAGGATAATCACGGGGCAGAGCAGCAATGTGGGGAAGATGGCGCAGGTCAGGCTGAACAAATCAAAGTGGAAGGTGAGAGAGGTGGCAACTACAGCCGCAAGAGACCATATGAGGAGAACAGGGGCTATGGCTACTATGAGCACCGTGAGGACAAGAGGTACGCTCAACATTAATTGTGATATGTTGCATTTAGGCTTATAGCTGATATATTCTGAATTAGCACAACAGTAGAACAAGTGACATTTACAGTGACTGACTTGACAATAAAAGTGGCTGAAAAGGCAGTTTGCTTCATTCTCTCCTGATGTTGTACAGGTCCCGCACACCACAACCCCCTGCTGAAGATGAGGAAGAGAACATAGATGACACTCTTGTTACAATTGATACATGTAAGTAGCAGATTAAAAATGGATCTCAGCCCAAGCAAAGGTCACTTGTCGTAGTCAGTTTAAGAATCGCCATCCCAGCTGCAAGCTGTCACTCTCGAAGCATTCACCATGTACATTTCTATTTCAGCTCAGTTCTTTAGATTCGAATTCAGTAATTAAAGGGTAACTACACCCATATTCTGCACATTAACGACTTGTTACACATATCAGAGAAAAAGAACTGAATGCAGAAGTGACTCCCATCTGACAGGCTCCTTAAAAACATTGCAGACACGGCATTAGGTGTTGTTATTGCAGTATGGTCCAAAGCCTCCAGTGCTGTAACTCCAGGTGTTTTGCCAGATGTCTCTCCTAGAGATATCTCTGCTGAACATGGTACATTTTACAATGTCATTGTACTATGTGGAAAGCATTGTTCAGAGCTGTATGCCTAAGACTCAGGCATCCTTGAAACTGGAGACTTCAGCACTATAAATGCTGATTTTAACACAAAACGCATTTTAACCTGAAAGCTGGTTCACATGACACTCTGTCAATTTGACTTTTATACAGTTGCACAATTTAGACTATAACAATGCATGGTTGTATCACATTTCCATTTAAAATGCTGCATCAGCTGATTTTCCAAATAATTACTTTGAAAATCTGTTGTGGCTTGTTTTCAGACAACTGTGATCTGCATTTCAAAGTGTCCCGAGATCGCTACAGTGGTTATCCATTGACCATTGAAGGCTTTGCTTACCTGTGGGCCGGAGCACGAGCTTCACATGGTGTCACCCGGGGCCGTGTGTGTTATGAGATGAAGGTACTATACACAAAACGACTATCTTCCTCCAACAGCAAGGTGGTTTTAAAACTAGACTGATACGAGTTTCACACATGTGACCGGTAAGGTTGTGCTAACTTTTCTGATGGGACAGTAACACTGAGTTACTGAAAATAAAACATTTCTGTATACGGTGTACACATCTGTTATAATGGTTCCTGATAACACGAGACAGGATTTATGTATTTATTATTTTTGAAACTGGATGGGCAGCTCCTTTATTTCTCCTTTTAACATAGAATGTCTTTACATGTTACTCTGTTGGCCTTAAAGTTATGTCTGTGCAAACACTGTAGTATGGGAACTGTTGTAGACCAGTCATCTTTTTACATCTGAATCAGAAAGTAGATCATATTTCTCACACACACACACACACGCACACGTCCTTTGATAACCACCTTTCAGTGGGGCACTAAATATTTTCCTGAAAGTCTTCTCTAGGCTTGTTTTTGACCAAATTGACTCCTGTTTTTCAGGTCAGTGAAGAAATCCCTGTGAAGCACCTGTCCAGCAGTGAGCCAGATCCCCATGTGGTCAGAATTGGCTGGTCCCTCAACCATTGCAGCACTCAGCTTGGTGAGAGCAGTGATTGTCTGAACAATCAAGATGATGTTTGGCATGAATGGGTCTTGGTTATAACAGTTGTGTTCTTTAATAGAAACAATGCATTTTATTCTGTTACTGTTTTAGGTGAGGAGCCCTTTTCTTTTGGGTATGGAGGAACAGGAAAGAAATCCTCTGACTGCAAGTTTGCAGACTTTGGTGAGAAGTTTCGTGAAAACGACGTCATCGGCTGTTACATTGTAAGTAATTGTAACAGTTACTTTTAACAGCATCTGAAAAGGATCATTTTGAATGACTGAGCTGTCGTTGTTTATGATACACCTCCTAACTGATTTTCTGGTAATATTTATGGAAATAATTTAATTCTTATACTTTGTCCAGGCACTTAACAGCATTATGTTAAGCAATATCCTCAAAATACTTTTTGTTTCCCTTTGTAACTCTAATTTCAGGATTTTGACAGTGGTGACGAAGTGGAGATGGGCTTTACTAAGAATGGATTGTGGTTGGGTGTTGCTTTCCGGACAACCAAGGAGGCGTTGGCTGGCCGTGCCCTGTTCCCTCATGTACTGGTGAAGAACTGTGCCGTCGAGTTCAACTTTGGACAGAAACGGGAGCCCTATTTTCCCCCAGAGGCGGGATACACCTTCATCCACAATCTTGACATGGAGGACAAGATCAGAGGCACTAAGGGACCTGCCAGCAAGTCTGAATGTGAGGTAGGGCTGCAGAGAAATTTGGAAGATCAAGCTCATTATCCAACATAGAAATAGACACTACATTCATCTATAAGTTTATTTAAAAAATAACGACTATCCCATATAGCTACATATGGTAATGGATACTTCTACTGCATCAGCATATCCGCTTTAGTGTTCAGTTTGAGCACAGAGAGGACAGAAATTGAGTCATCTGCAGTGTTTGTGTTATCTGCCAACAGCTGCTGGATAACATTAGCTGAGAGCTGAACAGAGCTGCGATCAATCTGCAAGTCATTTTTCAGTCTGTCGCTCTCGTTGATGGGATCTCTAGGCCCATTACGGGTTAGCTAGAATCAACTAAGGAAATCCTTTCCGAGTTTCTACAGTCAGTAAAGTGAGATCTAAATTATTTAAGCAACTTTTTAGCCAAACAAAACAAGAACGTATGCAGGTAAATACAGCATGGATCTCCCAATATGGCGGCTCCATCCCAAAATTCTACACAACATGCCTTTGCATTCTTTATAAATGCAGAATTAATCAGCTGTCTTTGCTCACTTTTTTCAGATCTTGATGATGGTTGGCCTGCCTGCCTGTGGAAAGACTACTTGGGCCATAAAGTATGCGGCGGCTCACCCTGATAAAAAGTACAACATCCTGGGAACAAATGCCATCATGGACAAGATGAAGGTTGGTTTGGACCCCCACCTCCAAACAAAACCAGCATTTACAAATGATGGTGCAGTCCTTCATTTTGTCATTTGTCATTTTTTTCTGCAGGTGATGGGTCTGCGTCGTCAGAAGAACTACGCCGGGCGCTGGGATATTCTGATACAGCAGGCCACCCAGTGTCTGAACAGGCTGATCGAGATCGCTGCTCGCAAGAGACGCAACTACATCCTGGATCAGGTACTGCCCTCTCACCCACACTCTGCTCTGACACTCGCCACAGTCAATGTGCCCTGATGATCACTCTCTCTAATGGACTATTTATTTATCTTTCAGGGGGGCTCTGTGTATTATAGAGTAGAAGAAGCATTGATCACCCTCTTGTCACTTGCTTGTCATGCTTTGTAAAGGAAAATGATTAATGGCTCTCATAAGTGACAGAATATTTCATGTTTTCATCCCTCAGTATATTTGCACTTGCTATTTCTTGTACAGTATTGTTTGTCTTGTGAATTTCAACAATGTACAAGTAAACCATGACTATGTAAAGATGTTGAGAAACAAGTAAGCTCTGACTGGTGAGTAAGAAAAACACCTTCTGTTGCTAATTTAATAAGACAGAGATGATAGCTTTTTAAAAGCTATTTTTAAGTGAGATACATGGAACTATTGTGTGTTTTTTAATGAATTGATCCTGAAGGTAAGTAATGACTAACAGTTCTTGGCTTTTCAGCTCCTTGTGCTCTGCATATGTGAAAAGAGGTAGGTGGGTCTGGTGGTGGACTGTAGCTCTTCCGTGGATACTGTGAGTATGAGCAGGTAGGTTCTATCTGTCTGTCATTGTCATGAATGGGACTAGAGCATGTATGAAGATGAGGTAAGTCCAGGTAAGTGCAGGGGGACCCCTCAAAATAGCAAGTTTTTTTTTTTTATGAAGCATGTTTTGTGGATTATAAGTTATTCATTGTGCTATTACAAAGCACTACTGCAAACTGGGCAGTTCATAAAGAGAATTTTCTGTTATCAGATTTGTAGATGGTGTTAATGGAAGACAGCAGTAGGATTTGGTGCTCAGATACAATGATGGGAGTCTTCAATGCATTTAGTAAATTTCTTTAGTGCATTTAAGGTGATAAGCAAGGTAGAAATGTTACCTCTGAAAGCCTTGTTCCTGAGAACAATCTACTATAATGTCTCAGTGTTGAATTGGCAAATCCTAGTTATTAATAAAACTATTATTCCCTGCATCTTGTACTTTTAAAAACTATACCTTTTTTCTGATGATTCCAATGTTGTGTTTCAGAGTAAATATCTAGTGCGATGTTTACATTACATGCCATGCTTTTTGGACAGTTGTCTGTCAGTCAGTGTAGAAACCACTGGTTTCTGTCGATTGTGTTCGCTTATAGCTGGTACTTTTAAGTTGTGGGTCAATTCAGACGCTTAGCGGTTGATAGAGAGTAAGTGCACCAGCGTGATGCTCACTTTATTTTTCTCACATGTGTGTTTGTAGATCTGTAGCAGGTTGTGTTTCTGACTGTAACCTGTAAATTAGTCTAATCAAGGGTTAATTACTACAGCCCAGTTTTGAATTGGAACCACTTGTAATTTTAAAACCTCGATGGTTGTGTCAAAGTTTTTGATTCCATTTATTGATTTGCTGAAGTTTGGACCTGCTGCATGATGATACACAAAGGCTGGTGGTCATGTAGAGTGGACTGGGATTAGTGCTTTAATCTGTAGCTAAGCTTCACAGATGATAATAGCATGGCAACAAAATGTTATCGCAAAAAGGTGTTAATGTGTAAACCTTACCTTATTCAAATTTATTGAGGAAGTTTGTCTAACATGATGGTGCCTCTCCTAATTTATTGTTCCCATTTGCCATAATGCTAATACTAGGCTGGCTAAATCAGATATGACACGACAAGTTTAAGAGCATTTGTGTTTTAAATGCAACTAATAAGATTTTATTTCTTCTTATATGACTGTTTATTTGCTATGTTTTTTTTCTTTCACGTTATGTATTTATATTTTCTTTACCTGAATAATATGCGGAAAAGTTGCTATACAGTAACGAGAATGTAGATTTTTGGAAAACACTGCAGTGACATCACACATTAAGCGTTACATCACCCTAACGTGTTCTGTTCTCTAATGGTTTGTGTTATAGACCTTGGACAAAATGCACACCTCCTGTACTGGCTATTACACTCAGTATAATTCAGTAATAACGCGACACATTTCGAAGCATTTACATGCATACAACACATGTTCCTGCACAAAGAGAGAGGTGAATATGCACCTTATCTACGTTTTGGGTATCCATTTTTCGATCGATCATAGTCTCCTGTGTATTGACCTTGTTAGGTAACTGAGCAGCAAGTGTAGTCGGTTTATACTTTTGTGGGGTCCCTTTGCATCTGTTGTCTATATCTAACATTCCTCAGCAGTCTCTGGGTGTCTGGATGCACAGACTGAGGTGAGTCTGTGGAGTGATGAGAGGCCATTAGCACCTGAGTAAAAACGTAGACTGACATCCAAGCCAAACCTCTCTCACTTCATTATTGCAGGGTTCCAGCTTCCTTCCAGTGGAAAGTCATTACAAGTAAACAATAACAAACAAGCTTCTACTTCTTTCTTGTCACCATTGCTAGACAAATGTATATGGATCAGCAAGGAGACGAAAAATGCGTCCTTTTGAAGGTTTTCAACGCAAGGCTATTGTAATTTGTCCCACGGACGAGGATTTAAAAGAACGAACATTAAAGCAAACCAATGAGCAGGGGAAGGATGTGCCCGATCATGCTGTGTTAGAAATGAAAGGTAGGAATGCTGTGGAAACAACAAATAAAACAAAAAGATCTACTTTTTTTACTTTTTCTGTGTTGTCTCTCAAATCAAAGTTGGAAGATGCCCCCTACCCCCCTTCCCCCATCATAGAATTTGGCCAAATATCAGACCTGGACATTGTTTTAAACAGTCCACATGAATTTGATTCTTCTTTATGTTTGCCCTCTGTTAGCCACTTGCCATTTAGCTCACTTGTGATGCACTGCAAACTGAGACCTGGGCCGTGTTGAGGTCATGCAATCACAGAGCTAATATTGCACAATTAGCTTCCTGAAAAGGATGTTTCCAAATGGCACACTTACAAGCAGTCACATGCCCAAGTTGTTGGAAGTTAATGTGTATCAGCATTACACCAGCTGTCCTTGGTTTGCAGTGCTGTTTCCTCTTCTCACCAAACTTCTAGTTGTCCTTTTTGTCCCCCTCCCCACCTCTACTGAAGTCTCCTCCCTCTCCTGTGTTTGCTTTAACAAATGTTTCCTCCATGTTTCACTGGAGGTGATGTTTGTTCCCTTTACCTTGCCATTTGCTGTCATCTGCTCTTAGTTTCTCTATGATTTCCACTGCCTCTGTGTGATAGTAATTATTTCTCATTTTGTCTTCCGGTGTGTGGCTACTCTGGTCTTCACTACAACCCCTACCCCTCTCTTTCTCTCTTCCTCTCCATCCATCTCTTGCTGGATGGGCTGTTTCTTTCTCCTCCTCCTCCTATGGTCACCTCTGTCACTCTCCAAGCCAACTTTACTCTCCCTGAGGCTTGCGACTTCCTGGAGGCGGTGACGTTCATTGAGTTGCAGCATGATGAGGCTGAAAAGCTGATAAAGCAGTACAATGAGGAGGGCCGCAAGGCTGGCCCACCCCCTGAGAAACGCTTAGACAACAGGCAGGGTGGTTTCCGTGGACGCGGTGGTGGTAGTTTCCAGCGCTACGACAGCCGTGATGGGTCCCGCGGTGGCTACCCGAACCGCAGCGGAGAAGGAGGCGGTGGATACAGAGGAGGTGAGTGGGACAGTTGCCTTACCTCATGTTGTATTTATCTTGGATCATTTGAAGCTATAGTTTCATTGTTGGGCAAGTTGAGAATTTTAATCATTTACTCATTGAAGAGTAACGGTGCACCCACTTTGGACGTGCATTCTGGGAGCAAAATTTTGACACTCATCAGGAGGTAGTACTAAAATCAAGTACCAGGAGTGCGAGGTGGGGGAGAGGGTGCATGTGTGCAACAGTCGCTCGTGATTGATCAAATGTCCACACCTTCACACCTCAAGCATTAGCGTTACAAGCATTCAGTGTAAACACGCAGCTGACTGTGTGTGTTAGAGAAGAGCAGGGTGGTCCGCGTCACCCCGGAGGATATGTGTGGTGATGGTTAAGGGAAGTACAGGATATACTCTGCTCGTTAGGTTTCAATAGTGCAAACACATCAGTTTCAAATTTTAGGCTACTAATGATTAATGAAAGTAATTACATTACTATGATGCTTTACTGCCCAGCATTATGGTATGTTAATTGTATTCAGGTCACATGACTAAACATGATGTTCCTGTAAGATAAGACAGTCGTGATCTTTCAAAAACAGAATTTTGTTTCAGGGTTAATTAAAAATATGGCTCCATGTTTTACTCTGTGGTTTGAATAAATTAACATCAAGAAGCACAAAATGGAGCTTGTATGTCAGTATACAGCAACGTTATCTGGTTTAGTGCTAATTTTTGATTCTTTTGCAGGCTACAGTCGTGGCAACTATAACCAGAATCGCTGGGGCAGTAGCTACCGTGACGGAGGCTCTGATGCACACAGTGGATATAACCGCAGCCAGCAGTCAGGAGGAAGCTACAACCGCCCAGCCTCCTACAACAAGGGAGGATACAACCAGGTATTCAATGTATAAAAAGTGAAAAATTATGACATGAACAAAAAAAAAAAAAAACAACAAAACACCTAAAGGAATATATTAGTAAATAATCTGTTCTCCTGAACTCCTTGCTTCACCACCAGGGCTACAGCCAGAGCTACAGTCCAGGTTACAACCAAGGCAGCTACAACCAGAATTACTACAGCAACTACAGTCAGTACCCAGGGTACAGCCAGAGCTACAGTCAGACACCTGCCACTGGACAGACATACAACCACCACCAGCAACATGCGCAGCCACAGCCGCAGCAGCAGTTGCAGCCGCAACAGCAGAGCTACAACCAGCAATATCAGCAGGTAGGTGGAGAGTAATGAAATATTCAGGCCTTTTACAGACATATGTCAATCAACCAAAATGTGATGCGGCTGATGGCTCTGTGCTACTCTGGGTCACTAACTCCTGTAAACAGTGACACAGAGTGAACCTGCCTGTTTGTGGCTAGACAACAATGAATGCCTTCATAGACCGCTGTGGCTGTGAATTCACTGCCATCACGATATATCTTTTTTTGTTTGTGTGTTTACGGTACAAATGTTTATCACAATGTCCATACCCTAAAAAAAAAACCCCAGTACTTTTCTACATTCCACCCCGTGTGCTCAGTATGCTTCAAAACTGTTTGCTAAACTGTCAGTAAATGCACAGCTTGAATGTGTTGCCAGCACAGTTGACTCTTTAGGCTTTGTAAAATCAAGATACATGCACACACTTAAATCGGTAAGAGCCAAAAGAAAAATTTGGTGGCAGTTCTGGGGAAAAATGAACAATTAATATGCAAACATGCTCTCAGTGCTGTGTGTACTTTGTTTCTATTCTCTAGTATGCTCAGCAGTGGCAGCAGTACTACCAGAACCAGAACCAGTGGAACCAATACTACAGCCAGTATGGCAGCTACCCTGGACAGGGCAGCCAAGGCTCATCTGGTTCTCAGTAGCTTCGCCCTGCATTTGTACCTGCATCCACCTGTGTCCTAAACACCTCTGACCTCTGCAGTAAATCAGTTTTGTACAGACCCCACATTATGTCACCAACCATACCTGTCTTTGTCTGGTTTAGCACAGTAGTCTTCATTCCCCACCAGTCAATGTACACAAACTATAAACAGTTTGATGTTTTCTTTCTTTTTTATACTGGATGACGTCTTACTCTGAGCAGTGACCATTCGCTGGTAGATCATAGGTATCAAAACATTTAAATGAATGTTATCTATTATGCATTGGATGTGGACGTCTGAACTGCAAACTCCATATTTTCTACAGGTTGAAGAGGTAATTGTATATTTCTAGACTGCATAGTGTGAAGAAATGACAGGGCAGGTAAGATACAGCAAAGCCTGAATATTTTGCTTGCATTGAGAAGCTTAACCAAGAACAAAATGCATGCATTTACCTTCATGATCCCTTTCTCTGTTTTACTCTTTATTTTTCAGTAACTGGGTGAGCACATTTTATTTACTCCAATAGAAACATTCTGAAAATTTTTATAGGTGTTACTGTAGTATTTAAGCCTTCATCCAGTCTTTGATTGAGAACATTATGCCACTCGTGTTAAGTAGTTGTATGTGGGTTTTTTTTTAATTCTTTGTGATTGCTGTTCATTCAGTCATGTAGTTAACACCTGTTGTCAGACCATTTTTTTTCCAACCTGAAAATGAAAATCTGATTATGAGCAGTTACCCAACCTGTCATCTTGTCTTTATACATTAAATGCAATTGTATACGCCCATGGATGTTCACGTGGTCCTTTTCTTTCTGCCACAGAGCTCAAGCACATTACAAATGGCATGATTCTTATTTTCATCAAAATTGAATCAAAGGACAAAACAAGCATATGCCA